ATTTGATGAACTGCGTAGTCTTGTTTTGCTGCTATGTCGAGGAAGATGCGAACCGTAGTCATTTTAGCAACAGGAGCAAAGGTTTCGCCATAATCAATGCCCTCAACTTGATTGTTTCCAAGCACCACAAGTCGTGCTTTGTATCTCTCAAGCGTGCCGTCGGCTTTAAGTTTGATACGATAAACCCATTTGCATCCAAGAGCAATTTTTCCTGGAGGAAGTTCTTGGATGTCCCATGTGCCGTTTAATTCCAGAGCATTTATCTCTAATCTCATAGCTTCCATCCATGCTTTATCACGCATTGCTTCTTTATAGGAACGTGGTTCGGTTGCAACGGAAAGAGCTACTAGGTAGCTGCGATGAGAAGGAGAGAAGCGATCATATATATGATAATCAGAGAGTGGGTGCTCCGTACCTGAGGATGATGATGGAGCGGTGGTCGTGAGTGAGGTGACGGTGACTGCGTTGATCGAGACTGTGCTGGTAGATGCCGATGTAATCGTGTCTGTGACGTAATCAGCAAGCTTCGTTGGTGGTTTCTTTGTGCGAAAACCACGTCCGAGTTGATCTGAAGGTGCAGTGGTTTCAGGGTCGGGTTGTATTGGATTTTCTGAGTTTGGTTCAATGTCTGGTGTAGACGTCGTTGTGGTAGGTTGAGGCTCGGGTTCATCGTCGGTTGGTATATGAATGGAGTCTTGGATATGAGATTCCATAGATGTCGTGGGTGTTGGTTGTAAGTAAGGAAAGGTGTCTTCCTGAAACAGAACATCACGAGAGATGAATACTTCTTCTTTGTCGAGATCATACAAACGCCACCCTTTCTTGCCGTAAGGGTAACCGAGGAAAACGCAACGCCGGCTACGGGAAGCGAATTTGTCTCCATGGTGGTGTTGATTATGAGCATAGCAAAGACAGCCGAAGACGCGTATCTGATCAAGGACTGGTCGTCGTTGAAACAATAACTCGAAAGGGGCTTTGTCGTTCAAGATCTTTGTAGGTGTTCGATTAATGAGATAACAGGCTGTGAGTGCACATTCAGCCCAAAATTCGATGGGGAGACCAGCTTGAAAACGCAAAGCACGGGCAACATTGAGTATGTGTCGATGTTTTCTTTCGACCCGTCCATTTTGTTGTGGTGTTCCAACGCAAGAAGTTTCATGTATGATTCCCTCTTGTCGAAAATATTTTGTGAGACACATAAATTCTGTTCCGTTATCACTTCGTATGGTCTTGATATTGCAGTTGAATTGTCTTTTGATGAGAGCGATAAACTCTTGTAATCTGGCGCCTACTTCGGTTTTGTCGGGGAGGAGATACAACCATAAGGCGCGAGAATAGTCGTCAACTATTGTTAAGAAATACCGTGAACCACAGAATGCAGCAGTGCGGTAAGGCCCCCAAAGGTCACAATGAATGAGTTTAAAAGAAGTAGAAGCTTTATTATAACTGTCGGGAAAAGGGTTTCTAGTTTGTTTTGATCGAAAACAGACATCACAGTTTGAGAAGCAAAGTTTACTACTAGATTTTAGACGAACATTAGGAAGTAAAGCCACGACTCGAGCTGACGGATGACCAAGACGACGGTGCCAGAGAACCCCTTCATCGGATGTTGTTGTCTGAAACGCAGTCACAGTCTCGAAACCTCGGAAGTGGTACAGTCCCTCACCTTCACGTTTACCCGCTCCAATCAGCGTCCTCGTGGTGCGGTCCTGCAAAACCACAAGTTTATCAGTTACTTGACCAACAAGAGATTGATCAGTCAATAGTTGGCCAAAGGAGATTAAATTCGTATGGAATCCATCTACATAATACACGTTTTGTAAGTGTATATGAGATGTGAGTTTAATGGTGCCCTGTTTATGTGATAAAACGTCGGCGCCTGCTGCTACGGTGACAGAAACAGGTGCAACTGATCGGATGTTGGTGAGAAGATCAAGGCGACCAGTCATATGATGTGTGGCCCCTGTATCTAAGATCCAACGTGGGTCATTGTTCTTACCGCTGAGTCTTGGATCGGATCTTGTCTTTTGAGAGTTCATAAGTGTCACTAATGTGTGCCATTGAGCATCGGTTAGGCCTGCTAGTCCTTGTCGATCTGTGTCGGTTAAAGCTGAGTTTGCTTTAATTTGTGTTGATGAGGAAGCGATGTGAGAGGAGTTTGCTTGTGGTGTCTCTGTTGTATTGTTTTGTCCTCCGCGTAGGTCGTTTCTGGTTCGTGGTCGAGTTCCCCACCATTCAGGGTAACCGATGACTCGGAAACATCCAGTTGCTCGGTGACCAATACGACCACAAGTAGTACAAGTGGTGTTGGCGTCGGGATTGACGAAACGGGGCCGAGAGCTGTTGTTGGTTGAGGTCGTTTGTCGAGAGCTGTCAGAAGGTTGGTTGTTTTGTCGATTGTTCGAAGAAGATGAGTGTGCTGGTGTTTGCGCTGCAAAACCGAGCAGAGCCGGTGCTTCTTTTTGAGAAATCTGTTGGACTGTTTCATTCTGAACGATGGTTTGATATACAGTGTCAAGATCTGGCAGAGGAGTTTGAGCACAAATTTGTGATCTTACTGCTCCGTGAGTTGCATCGTCGAGACCGAAGAGAAAATCATGAACTCTAATAACATCACGTTCTTTTTCTTGAGCTTCCAAAAGATTGCAGCTGCAGGTACCACACTTGCAAGTAGTAGTTGGTAAACATTCAGCCATAGAATCCCAGATTTTGGTGAGTTTGCCGAAGTAATCTTCGACGGAGGATCCAGATTGGCGACATGTTGCAAGGGAGGCACGCAATTGCTGGTAACGAGCTCCGCTTTTAAGTGCAAAGCGGCGCTTAATATGTTCCCATAATTCTTTGGCTTCTTCTCTATGAGATATATTTGAACGTAGCTTCGGTTCGATCGTGAGTTTAATCCAGTTGACGAGAAGGTGGTTGTTCGCCATCCAATCTTCATAATCGGAGGAGTCGGTGGTTGGTTTCGGTATAGTGCCGTCGATGAAAGCAAACTTTTTCCGTGCGCTTAAAGCAACCCGTAAGTTTTGTGCCCATTCATCGTAGTTTCGTCCGTTGAGTAGAGGTTGAGAAACAATTGCTCCGGGATTATCATTAGTTGACAAATCATAAGGAGAGATTGTTTTTCGAGTCGGTGTTGTTGTTGCAAGAGGTCCTGCCATTGTCGAGGGTCGTTGAAGCTTCGAGTCGGGAGGTTGTTAAGTTTCGAGAATCGTTAGTTCGGAAAAAAAATCGATTTTAGATTCGTGGCTCTGATACCATGAGAAGTTCTATAATCGATAATCGTTTTCTGTTATTCATTCTTGACCATAAGGTCTTGTTTATATACATCGATGAAAGTCGTAATACTAGCTAGAAAAGGAGATTGCATAATAAGGAAATATTCTATATCGAAATCCTATATTCTCTAAGATATGGTATTATCCCAATAGATCGGATTCGTTGAGTGGGGTTTAAGGTAATGTGATTGCTCTACAAGGAAGAAAAGAATGAGAAAGATGAACCCCTCTTACAGATCTTCACACTGTCTCCGATCACGTTAGGATCTCCTACGCTCACATTAGCACTTGAGTTGCACTGAAAGAAACAAGGATTCTTCTTCCGCCATATCGCCGAGAAGAGGAGAGAACAGAGGAGAATGAAAGAGAAGAAGAAGAGAGAGACGAAACTCACGCGACACAACCCTTTCTTTTGTGACACGTGGCCAGTAAGACACGTTCCTTCGGTAGCTTAAATAAGGGACGTGTTTTCTATTAATCCCATTTTATCTTTTTTTTTAAAGCCCAATTACCCTAAGATATGGTGTTAAGAGACACCGATGAACGTGCTCTAAGTATTCTTTTTATTGACTCTTTTTGTGTGTATGTCTTTCTCCCTCTCTTTGTTGTTTCTTTCTCTTTTAAGAATCTATGAGAGATTTTGTTCCATTGGACATACTAAAATATTGCAATACTATTTAATTTACAAAATCTGAAAATTTATAATTAAAATAATGATAAGCATCTATGAGAGGTTCTTACCATTGAATATGGTCTTAGTAAATTCAATTTTTAGTTTCGAACAATTTAGTATGACTTCATAAATTTACGAAAAGGATCAAAACTTTGATTTGGTTTAAGTAAGTCATTCATTTTTGCTTAGAAACTGATATGTGTCTTTAAATAAACGAATTTTCTGGTACAACAAATTAATATATTATGAAATTTATTGGCGGAGATTCATGAAACATTAAGTGATTCTGGAAATTTTGAATTTTTGATATCATAATCATACTTTAGAAAACAAATATCTCTTGTTTGTCATGATTTTTGGGGTTAAAATGTTTCAAATTAAAATCACTAAAAGGATAACTTTCTTAATATAGAGAGAGACACTGATATTTAAGAGAAAGTGAGTGGCTAGTGATGCCTTAGAGCAGGTTTAACGCTGGTGCTTAGAGGGTGTTTATCACCTGGGGCCCCACAAAAACAACAAGTTTCGACGCCTCCAACTCCCGTTCAAGCGCCCTGTTTTTCCAGCGCTTGCACTATTGCGCGGGCCCCACTAACATGTGGCGGCCCGCTATTGGTTGCTTTTAAATTTTTTTTTTTTAAATTTGTAAAAACAGAAAAGTTAAAAAAAAAAGTTAAGCACCCTTTTCTCGGTTTCTGGATAAACCTGCTCTTGAAGGTTATGCAGGTCAGATGGTAGTTTACCCCACCCAAAAAAAAAAAAATTAAAAGGCTACTTCTCATAGTTTTGATTATTTGCAAAATACTAGATTTTTTGGTATATTTTTTAACCAGAGTTAAATTCTAGAGTTTAAATGTACAAGAGTACTGCTGCACGTGGAATTCTGCTAATTCAGTCCGTTCTACGAGTAGGAAAATAACTCAGGATAACAAAAGCAAATTATCTTAGTTATATGAAATAAGACACGTTCGACAAACATATTAACGAAGACCTTAAAACAGTAGAGCCTTCTGCTATTCTCATAAATAAAATCCAAAAAAAAAACACGATCACTCTTGATGTTCGACATCAGAAGCAGCCTCCTCCTCCTCATGATCGCCGGAGTAATCATTGCCAAAACAAGGGACATGACCATTACCAAAGGCCTTAACGTGGTCCTTAAGCGACCTCTTGTGCTTGAAATCCGAGCCGCATGAGCAATACCAAAGCTTTCCACAGTTCTTCTCGTGCGTCCTCCAGTCTCCTTTGACCGCAAAAGCTTTTCCACATCTACGACAAGCAAAGGGCCTCGCACCGTGTTTCCGCTTGTAATGTGTCTGAAGCGTACGAAAGTCCTTGAGCGGCCTTGCCCTCGGGTGGTTTATGTTATTCTTGCAGCCTGGTGCGCAACAGTAACATGGCAGCCTCAGCATCGCTGTTGGTTGTGTCCCTCTTAGTGACTCCGGTCCTTTTCTGTATTGTGAGCCATGTCCCCACATGTGCATCTAACTCCCGTAAAATAAAAACATGTGTAACGTTAGCACCATATGATTACTTCAAGTTATACGCAGCTTATATATTTATTTGGTTTTTTTATGTTCAAAAAAAAAATCAGTTAAACTCCTAATCTAATTAACTTATATCTAAATGTAGCTGTCACAGTGTAAAGCTGTGCAATGACCAAAGAGATCAGTGCAATAGGTAAAGATTGTTACATGCCCGGCCCTGATAAGAAGCGTATGTGCTTCCCGCCTTCAAAAAATATATATAATTTTCAGCCAAATTTTCTTATATATTCCTTTAATATAATGGTAGTACTAGCGAAGCTCTAACACAATCACCCTGAGTTCGAACCATATATGCGTCAATAGCAGCTTTTTTAAAAAAAATTAGCTTCTGGTCCTTATATAATCAGGGCCGCTACTGATTTGTGTACTAAGACTTGCACAATTTATTCGTATATTTCTAGACACAACAGTGAATAAATTTATGTAGCTTTTACGGTAATCATATTAGTAATACTGAATACATGTACAGACTATATTTTCTTGTTTATATCTGCACAAAAATGTATATGAGATTGAGATCTAGCCACGTATAATAGCTTAGGGTTAGTAGGAATTAAATATATAGAAAATTGATCTATGTCCTGTAAATATAGAAATAGGTATAGGAAAAACAAACAAAATTGCAAGACATCCCTCAGTTTCTTTTGCTTTTTAGGGTAATGAGTGTTGTGTAGTATAACTGCGCGAAAATCGAGAGAGAACAAAAATGGAAGAGGAAGACTAATCATATTTTAGGGTTAGAAGGAGTCAGTCTAAAAAGACTATTGGTTAAAGAAGATCAGCTTGATTTTAAACCCATTGATTGATTTTAGTTGATCTTCTCATAGCCATCAATCAATGTATAGTGGAATCTGATGACTTGTACCATCAAATGAAACGTTATTCTTGAGTTTATAGTAGTAACAATTATTAGGAAAAGTCGAAGTGTGTGCTAGAGATTTTCTCATGATGAAGATTTGGGAAAAAAAAAGAAGAGGATATTACACTATTTAGAAGAACCAAATAAGAAAAGTAATAAAGCGAGATGCATTTTTCAAGAACAAAAGTCAAATCTTTTTAAAAAAATTTAGGAAAGTAGAAACTTATTAGAGTTAGGTTAATTGGATGAACATATCCTTACCTGCATGTTGTTGTATCTGTTGAAGGTTTTGAAACAGAGAGGACAAGAGAACTGTGTAGGACCCATCAGAATCTGAGAAGGAGTAGGGATCCAGTAGTGATGATGATTACCCCTTTGTACACCACCATGACCATCGTGTTCGGAAACAAGTGTAACTTCTCCTCCTTGATATTGATGACGATCTTGATGAATCTCATGGTGATGCTCTTGGTCTGTAGAATCAAGGATGACGTCGCTGCTGCTGCTCCCACCACCACCACCGTAGGCAATAGCGTCCCCACCGAGGTTTGGTAACCCTAGATGAAGATCCACTGTCACATCATGATGTTGAGTTTCTTGGCATTGACCAAGATCATGATCAAGAAAGTTTGAATTAGAAGATTGTTCGGTCGTCTCCATGAAATAATATTCATGATGAGGAGCACTAGTTTCTTGATGCTTATGAATGGGGCTTAAGCTAAGGAGAGGAAGAGCTTCTCTAAGTGGAGGAGATTCAGGTGATGTGGAATTAGGGTTTGTGTTTGTGGTATTGCTAGGGTAATATAAGCTGCCATTAGAGTTATAGATGTGTGAGAGAGAAGTGGAATAGCTAAAGCTATAGTCATAGTCATCGAGAAATCCATTGCTGAAGATACAAGCTGGATCAGACATTACTTTGAGGAGAAGACAGAGAGAATAAGAAAGGGAACGATATCAAGATGATAGTTTGCTTTATGAGAGGAAAGAGAGCTAGATATGCATGTTTATACTAATGCGTGGGTGTTTATGAGTGTATACACCACATGTTTGCGATGTGACAAAGAGGTGGAAATAGCATATGATATTTTATAAGAAAAGGGGTACGAGAAGATGGTAAGGAGAAAAGAAACAAAGAGAAAGTTTGAAAAGGCGAAATGAGATTACTAACTTGGGACTCGAAGTTCACGCATGTATTTATTAAAATAAAGTCAATCATTAAATATTTATAACCATAAGCTTTAGCAATTAAATTTAAACTTTCTTGTCACAAAGTAGTGGATATCTATCTAAGATCGGGTTAAACCTCAGTGTATGTATGGTTCTATTGGCGAATTACGGGACGTTCCACAAGAAATGTCCAAAATCACATCTCCGAATTTCCATGTTAATATAATTTGATTCAAAAGAATTATCAGTCAAACTAAGGCCTAAAACGTTTGGTTAAATTAGAAAAAAAAGATCAGTGTTAAATGAGATACAAGTATGCTAATATAAGAATAATTCAAAAATTAATGATTATAAAGATGTAAAGTTAGATGAGATACAAGTATGCTAATATAACAATTATTCAAAAACTAATGATTATAAAGATGTAAAATTATATCAAACTGGTTTTTCTTTCTTTTTTTTTTACTCACAAAATTGTTAACTAACTTATTATGGCTAACATAAATTACATATTACGTAGTATCTCGAGTCCTTTAATTAAGAATTTAAGATCATTGATCGGTTAAACTAATTAATAAGATGTTTAGGTTCAATGTTATATAGTTCGCATAGAATTAATGTTTTGGTTTGATAATTAGTTTAAGTTATTATTCCACAACCTTGAAAGGATCAGAAAATGAAACAGTCCATTAGACAGACAGAGTATGGAAAGGACCAAACAAAATGGACAAGATCGGGAATCAAGTATAAAAGTTTGTCTCCTTTAATGTCTAACTGTGAATTGAATTACAAAGTATATCTAGAGAGAGAGAGAGAGAGAGAGAGAGAGAGAGAGAGAGAGAGAGAGAGAGAGAGAGAGAGAGAGAGAGAGAGAGAGAGAGAGAGAGAGAGAGAGAGAGAGAGAGAGAGAGAGAGAGATGAAGCATAGAATCAAGAGTTGATGAACATTTTTGGTTTTGTGGGGAGATTGATCGCGTTGGAAAATGAGACGGTCGTGAACTAAGACAGCACTTGCGTTGGTGGCCTCATCTCTATGTCGGCTGAGCTTCATAAACATTATTACTTGGGAACTCCAATTCGTTATTTAGCTCATTGACATAACTTCAAGTAGTAATCAAATGAAAATTTGCAAGGTAAACGTAATAACTGAATTTCAACTTTCCCTAGCGTGTTTAGAAGTTATACACCGAGTAATAAGAAAACTAATTACTACAACCACTAGATCCATAAGATCACCTAATTGTTGAGGTATATAGACTCTATAAAGTAGTATACTCTGCCGATATCCCATATGCAAATATGTATGGTTAATTAATGCAACGAATAACTGATATTATTATTAAGATAAATATATATTAGTTATTTTAAATCAGATTATGATTTTACCGTTTTAAAAGTTTTTACTGAATTTCTTATACAATGGTTTTAGACTTTACTATATGATCCAGTTGTTTTATCAATATTATTTACTTATCGTAGATAAATTGTATTGATTGAATTTATATGTTCCAAACGAGATTTTTATATAAACTTTTTGGTTGAACTAGCATGTATAAATAGATAATTTTATATTTACTGTTTGCGCTATTTATTGTTGTTTTCCCTCTATAATTATTTTATATATTATTCTCTACGTTTTATTTTAAATGATCTTTTTATGAATATTGGTTTCAAATTTCTATGCAAAAATATAATGTCATTTGTTGTTTGTGACTATTTATATCATGTAGTATAAAATTTAGTTGGTTGAATTAGTTGTAGTTAGTATTGTTTTTATGCAACACGAAATAAAATAAAATAAAGTTCATGATTTTCTAACTGTGAAACTTAAAACACTGGGAAAGTATTATTTAAAGGGAGTCTTATACTATCACAACTGTTTTCTATGTAATTAAACTGAGTTGATATAGTGTTTTTGCTCTATTAGCTAGTCTGGACTATGAATGATCGATTCTCATTATTCTAGCATTTTACATTTCAGTAGTTTATGTTCATATTTTTTACGGTGGATTCTGATCCAGAAAACCTGATATATTTTGAAATTGCTTATGTTTTGTAAATAACTTTTTGTGGTTATACATTGGTCAGGTACACAGCATGGTCTCTGTAAACCAATGTAATATAAACCAGTCTACAGAAATCAACCTATTACATTTCCAATGTATGCAAGCACACAAGTTATATATAAGAGAATATTTAATATATTATTTCACTTTTTACTTCAAAATGACGTAACTCTAAAATAAAGTAAAATAAAGTTTAGTTTTAATCCAATGTATTACTCTATTTTTTTATTCCAAAAAATAAAATTTCAATGATTTCTTTCTATTTAGTTAATAGTTATTAGTATTAACTTCAACTTATAAAACATATAACAATTAATCCAACTATTTAATGTTTACAAAACTTCCAAAATATATTTTATTTAAATTAGACCTTATTATTTTAAATACATTAAATCATAAAACTATATAAGATATCATATTTGTTTTAGTAATGAATGTTAGAATATTTTCTTACAAATAATCAACTAATGTATTTCGTAATGAAAAATAAGATTTTTATCTTTAATATTCCTAAAACGAACAACAAAAATCCGAAATCAGATTGAATTCATCTATTCCGTTTGAATAATACTTCACTGAATTTGATAGTTCAGAAAGCAATTTTTATATTATTTATTTTATATTATTTCGTAATGAATAATTATTAAATTATTTTAAATTCTATTTATTTTATATTATTTATGTTTAGTTTAATTTTTATTAGTTTATGCATCTTTTCTGTAAAATTATTAAATATTTTTTTGTAGAATATCATATTTTCTTAATGCTATTGAATCATTTTGAAATGAAGTAATTCTACCTATTATTCTATTTTGGAGTTGAATATGGAATGATATTAGAAAAGATTTTATTCTAAAATGAATTGGAATAAAACAAGAAGTAGGGTTGGAGTTAAGCAGGGCAGATTGTTTTTATAAAGTAACCTTTTGTTCTGTTGGATTTCTCTTTCTCATATTAATTATGTAATTACATCGTAAGAGGTCAACATTAGTGGGTTTGAACAGAATATGCAGTGGTCGCAATGTGTGAAATGAAAGTATAATAATATAGAGGACAGGGAAATTTGATATTATTACATTATAAACGAATATATATTCCCGAGCGAACACGAGTGTTTATATATGTATTTTATGTTCGACTTCACTTGTCATTTATGTATCTTTTGTTGTCTCTTCTCAGACAATCTTATCTATATATGCACCTCATGTTAACTTTCTTTTTTAATGTTATCGTTTTATGTTATCTTGTAAAGCCTTAGAATGTGTGTATGTAAGTGCATGTCTGTATGTGTATTAGTATATATGTTCTTATAAACTCTTTGCTTTGGGATTGGATGTTGTTTTGTGAGTTTTCAAATCAAATCTACTGCTATGCCTCTTATTTGTATAATATTTGTATTAAATGTGTTATATATATATACTTATTTTTAAGACAACTTTCAAATATTAGTTTGAGATACTGGTTCGTATCTTTAAACTTATCTAATTTATTAAGTTAAAGTGCTATAATTTTTTATGTGTGATTTTTCTTTAGACTATCCCTTGGAAAGTTTATATACATTATTTAACTATAATATATTCTAATATCTTAATCTTTTATTTGAAATACAGAAGAAATAATTTTCATTTTAAAATCCTGATAAAAATCTTTTATAATCTTTTAAAATTAAGTTATCTAAATTATCATAATCATTAAAATACAATTAGCAATTAGAATTAATTCAGTTTGATTTTTTTAAAATGATATATAATATTTTATCTATATCTTACTGATATTACAATTTTAATTAATTATTTTTCAAATACATTTTTAATAAGGTTTTGTTAGATAATCTTCATGTATTATATATTTAATTTTGGACTATCAAACATGAGTTAATCTAAATCAGTTAGATTTCATGATATAACATGTTGATTAGAGAATATTTCGGTTAGAGAATAATAGTAAATTTGGTTAGAGAATAATCTAACAAAATAAACGATTTCTAATCAGTTAATTAATAATTATTAAAGCAGTGGCATATGTTGTAATTATTGTGATGAAGAAAGTGTTATTTTCAAAAATGTATTTCAGTTTTAATAATATAGATTATAAATGCAGATATTTATAATAATATGTTAATATAGTTTTGAATATAACTAATAAATATACCATAATATATACTATTTCACTTTTATATTTTATTAAATAAGATATTCTCAAATATATAAACTAACCAACTTTTAAAATTCCAAATATTTCTAAAGAATATCTTATTTATTTCTCTAGATTCATTCATTAAATCTGTAACTAACATATCTTAGATTAACTAATGTATATAATACTTTTTCAAAAAAAAACTAATTGATTACAAATGGAATCATCAATACTATTAAATCTAATTTTAAACCAATCATATATTCATTAATATATCTAACTAAAAACACAAGAAACAAATTCAAAAGGGATTTTTTTTAGAATTACTTTTCTTATAAGTCTCAACTATTTAATTTTTGCGGAAAATTAAGATTAAGCTTAGTAGTTCAGTGTGACTCATCTAAAATTAGAGGTAGTGTGGACTTTTGGCTGACATTTCATAAACAAGAACTTATATTATTTTTTCAGAACGCAATAACGCCTTAAGATCCTTCTTGAAAATAAAAAGGTAAACTCAGACAATTTATCAAACAGGGTTAATGT